AACAGGAGCAAATCTCCATCTCAAAAAAAAAAAAAAAAAAAAAAAAAAAAAAAAAAAAAAAAAAAAAAAAAAAAAAAAAAAAAGTCCAGTATAAAAGAGCAATTGAGATTCAGAGCTGGATAGTATCTGTCTACTTAAATTTTTTAGAATAACTGATCTCAGGGCTCGTTTTTAACTATTTCATTGATGTTGAACAGCTCTATTTGAGGAATGAGAACTTAGTCCTATCACTAGCCAGCCATTTCATAGAAAAAGTCACTCTTTGCAATTGGTTGCTTTTACCAAGAAACAGACTGACTCCAGAATGATTAGGAAATCCCAAACTACCACAAGGCTCTCTGGCTTCCCTAAGTATCTTCAGGAGACACTCTGATCCTGTATGAAATGGGCAGGGAGTTAAAAGACTAAAATAATTTTGGTAACTGTCTGAGACGTTTTATATCTAAGAAGGTGCCTACTGAATTCATGCTATTCATTTGCTTTAGAGTTTCAGAAGGTTGCAAACTTTCAGGAAAAATTGCAACGTCCCCTTCATTTTCTTTTTCAGGATGTTGAGTGAACTCTGCTTTCCCAGTTCGAAGGTTCACTGCAGGACTTGGTTTAAGGTTCTTTAATAAGAAAGCTGGCTTTTCAGTCAGCTGCTGTTTGGCTTTTGACTGTAAAACTTCATTTGTAATATTTCTCAATACTGGCATATCTGTGTTGGTGTCCACAGATTCACAGTTAGGACAATTAATTATTTCACAGTCATTCTTAGAAGGCTCTTTCTGACCACCAAGCTGTTCAGGTGTGGAAGTAAGGTTCTGATTCAATAAATGTTCACTCTTGCTATCTGCATTGTCGGGAGGCTCCTCTTCATCTTCACTATTGTCACTGCTTTGTAGTAGTCCATATCTCCTCATATACTTTTTGGTTGCAAATGACATGTTGTTTGGTGAAATTAAACTAAGCCCCACTGTGCTTCTGTCTGTATTAATATGGAGAAGGCTGAATGGGTCACAATTATTTTGGTTTGATCGAGTGACAGACAGTTGTGAGAGCTGATTTTCATTTAAATATTTCAGAGCTATAGCATTTGCCTCCATGCTCAAATCCACACCATTGGGGCTTAAGCCACTCATGCCAACATTAGCAAATGACATGCAGTTTAATCCAGAGATCACTGCTTCTGGGCTGATGCATGCCAAAACACTGAAAGACACAAAGTAGTAAGCCATCACTTATCATACTCTGAGAAATAAATAGTTCTCAATGTGTTCCATTCTATAAAAGCAACAAAAGATCTTTAGCTTTAAGTTCATGGTCCTTTTATGTAAGTATTCAGACATTAAGTCTTGATGATCTAGATACACAAAGGATACAGTGGTCCAAGCACTGTACCCAGCAGTGTGCTGCAATCCCAGCAGATGGTGTCACTGAGATAGGAGGATTGCTTGAAGCCAGGAGTTGATCAGCCTAGGTAACATAGCAAGGTCTTGTCTCCACAAAAAATTTAAAAATTTGCCAGGCATGGTGGTACACATTTTTAGTCCCAGCTACTTGAGAGGCTGAGGCAGAAGGATCACTTGAGCTCAAGAGTTCAAAGTTATAGTGAGCCATGATCGTGCCACTGCACTCCAGCCTGGACAACCAAAGAAGACCCTGTCTTTTTTTTTTTTTTTTAAAAAAAGAAAACAAAAGGGTAGGGGGGATAAAAATAATAGCCTAGGCCAGGCACAGTGGCTCACGCCTGTAATCCCAGCACTTTAGGAGGCTGAGGCAGGCGGATCAGCTAGTACACAGCAAGCTGAGAAAATCTATGCCTGTCTTACTCTCTGGGGCTCCATAACCACCACTTTACTGTACTATATTCAGTAGCTTGGAGTTTTTCTATCAGAGTCCTTTGTGCACTATTTTTGTTGTGGTGAACATTATATTCTGGTCAAAGAATGTGCTATGGCTTTCTACATCATGCCATGAAGAACTTTAGCTGTCTTATACGTGCTAGCCACTGCTTGCATTCACAGACCCACAAAAATCAAATTACCATTATATATTTTCATTCTTATAAGCACATGAAATTTGGAAGAAACTATTTCCAATCATTAATATTCCCTGAAACCAGTGATGTCATCACCAAACAATGGATCCGTGTGCTCAATAATGCTGGTCTTTGTAACCTTGAAATTCTCCCTTAACCTTCTTGGTACTTAATACTTTGAAGACTATTTTAATAAGATGAAAGAGATACTATTAATTTATCCAGACATTATTCTTTTATTAATAGTGACAATATTTTTTGAAGTATTTTTCTACTTTGCCTACTTCCTCAGTCTATAGATAATATTAACGTAAATAATTTGATAAGAATAAAAACTTCTAATTAAAAATGTTAAATATTTAAAGAAAACAGGTCTAATTTATGTTTTTTAAGACAAGGTTTCGCCCTGCCACTAAGGCTGGAGTGCAGTGGCGCAATCATGGCTCACTATGGCATCGACCTCCCAGACTCAAGTGACTCTCCTACCTCAGCCTCCAAAGTAGCTGGGACTACAGGTGTATGCCACCATGCCCAGCTAACCAAAATTTTTTCTTTTTGCAAAGATGGGGTCTCACTATGTTGTTCAGGCTAGTCTTGAACTCCTGGGCTCCAGTGATTCTCTCATCTCAAACTCCCAAAGTGCGGGGATTATAGGTGTGAACCACCATGCCCAGCCTCTAATTTTAACTAGATCTTCTTTTGCAGAATGGTTAAAAGATCCATAAGTTGGTCAATATCAGTTTAGACGGCTATTCAAGTTTCAGTGCCTAACACAAGCTAGCCAATTTCAACTTGGAGGGCAGGGCAGGGGCAATGAGACAGTTACTTTAATAGCAAAATAAATCAAGACAGGCACAATGGTATGCACACCTGTAGTCCTAGCTTCTCAGGAGCCTGAGGCAGGAGGATTGCTTGAGCCCAGGAGTTCAAGGGGCCAGCCCAGGCAAAATAGAGACCACATCCCTTAAAAAAA